ACCTTTAATTATAATTAAGATAAACTAGTATTTATCTTGTGCACATGCACAAAAATATATTATTATTATTATTATTATTATTATTATTATTATTATTATTATTATTATTATTATTATGATCATCATCAATGTTGATACCCAATTTAGTCTCGATTAATAAAAACACGACACGTGGAAAAATAAACAAATGTTAAAATATTTATTAAATAAATATAAATAGCAAGTTATCCGAGCTAAATTATCTAAAGTCAAAGATTGCCCACATCCGAGTATACAAGAATTTGATACCACCAGCCCGACCAGGATACCATAAAGAAATCGTATTCAAAAAGACGTAAATTATAAACAAGACATGCGTCAATCAGAACCGTCAGACTTCGCATTTTGTTTGTAGTATTTTTGGGTAGTTGGTAACCGAGTTACCCGGACTCGGGTCGTTCTCAAAGGAAGACTATTCGGAGCTTCTTTCACTACCTAGTCGTCAAAATCACACAACCGAAAAGGTCCTAAACATTCTACTCGCAATTTAGGGGTTTGAATTTAAACTAGATTAATCTATGAAATGACAACAAATGAAAGCAATTAACTAAGCACGCAAGAAGATGAGAGAAATCAAGGGGGAAAGAGGGATTTTGGTTCGCCGGAGTCTCTATGATTAAACACACACAAATAATCGAACATTGCCATGCTAGCTAAAACCCTAGGTAGCTAAACCAAACTCTAGCACAAGACGAGCAAATGTTTAACTCCTAATCATACTTAGTCAAGCATTCTCGATCCAAAGATTCAATCTTTTCCTCCAACCAACACAAGCACAATATCAATTTTCACGAAAGCAATCAAAGATAGACGAAGTAATGAGCCTTAAGACGAAGTACCCACTCTTACACGCACTTGGAAGGAGAAACGGAGTCAAAAGCTCGAAACTTTACTCGAAACAATGTCGCCGGAAATTCGTCGGGAAACTTGATCCATAAAGCTCCAAACCAAAACATAAAAAATAAAAGAAAAGAGAGAAAAGAGAGGAATTCCCAACTTAAAAGTTGGGAAATGAGGGTTGTGTCCAAAAATACAAAGCAAGATGTCTTTATATAGCTACACCTCAAACACACACTA